CTCAAGCGAAGACCTTGTTTTTAGTAATTTTTGGATAACTCTTCCAAGTGCAAACTTGCATTTTGACATTTTGTTCTAGGTAACTGCTCAAGCGGTGAATGTACCGCTCGAACAAAAGTTGAGGGCATCCAGAAGTTTTGCTGGTTAGGGTGGACTGCTCGAGCAACTATTAGTTCGCTCAAGCAAGATGCAGGGCTCCTAGAATCTCATTTTGCCGAAAAAAATACTGAGAAAGGTTCACCGCTCGAGCGATGAAAAGACCACTAGAGCGGTCTTCGTGAATTCAACAGATTAAAAAGGGCATTTCTAGATCATTATTTCCATTCCTCTTTTCTCTCTCTTGCCTTCTTGTCTTGAGTCCGAAAACCCTAGGTTTCTCACCCTAAATACTCGTCATTCCTCTAAGATCTAGCTGAACTCACTTGCAAGGAGTGAAGTCCAAGTGAAGATCTTTCTTCCTACCGATTGGATTTTGTTTTTGCGAAGTGTTCTCCTAGAAATCAAGTTTTCTTGCTCTTTTTCTTGAGGTAGGGTTACTTTTAACTTAGTATCTCTTTGGTTTGAAGATGATTATATGGTATTGTTGTGACTTTGTGACTTAATTTGATGATTGAGTAGATTAGACCTTATATTTCATAGAAAGGGAAATTTTACTCAACTTTTATTAAAGTTTTATCTAATTTTCCATATAACATGAGCAATAATGCTGAGAATATATATATATATATATATATATGAAAATAGGAAGGAAGCCCCAAATTTGTTAAAAATCTTAACTTTGAATGTGAGTAGAGAATGATACTTGGAGGAGAATTTCCTTAAATGCTTGAAATTTTGTGAATAATCTCGGCGTGGAAAATATAGATATTGTTGTGGTGTTGAAATTGTGATTTGGTGATTAAGGCTCATTGAATGTTATATTTGTTGCTTATTACTTATAATGTTAAAAGCCTGATTACTTGGAATAAAGTAGAGTAAGGTGGTATGGTGAATAGAAGTCTGGGTTAAGAGTCAATTTTGAGAAGGTGGTGTTGTGTTGGTACCTACGCGAGGACTTAAGGTGTCCAATTGCCCTATCTGCACTTTTCGCCAGACGAATGTGGGAAAATGTTTTTGGGTGTCTACTGATCCTGCCATATTGTAGTCATCAAAAGTGTGTCTACTGACCCTGCCATATTGTAGTCATCAAAAGTGGAAAAATCGATGATTTTAGATGTCTACGTCCTGCCGTATAACAATTGGCAAATGTGGAAAAACATGGTTTTTGGGTACGTACGTGTAGACGTGCCCGAATGTCCCGGACTCCATGCGCGAGATGGCACGAAAATCCCATTTTGTTCATTAGGCTGGTACAGTTCGGACTCAAATGTCACGGTTCTGAATCTAGTCTCGCAAAGTGCAATGCAAGACCGATAAATCACCAAAGAGTCCAAATCCGGCAAATCATTTTGGAAAGTTGATTTTTGTAAAAAAGTACCAAACATGGACTGTTTTGCCAGATACAGAGTCGCCACCTAAATATTTTATTTTGGGAAATTTAGGAAACCCTGACTCGTTGCCTAAGGCCACGTGTCTGTCATCACCAAAGTTGCCTCGGCTCGGGAACTTGGGCGCGAGAGGGGAAGGTCACACAATGAGCACCCCCTCTCGCCCGATCAAAGATCGGCCTCTACTAACATGATATCTTGTTTCTAAAAACACATGCGCTCTTATTTGGTTATTAGCAAGAATTACTATGTGATGCGCACAACACACAAGTATAGACTAGATTGCCTAAGTTGGCACAAAACATCTCATGTTTGTTTCAAAGTGGTTTGAAAGTGCTACTCGCAAGTAGGTTAAGACGTGGATTTGCCACCCTCGGGTGGGCTTAAGAAAATATGATTTTGCCACCCTCAAGTGGGCTTAAAACTCGCATTTCGATGAATTGTTCCAATTCAAGTAATCCAACCTTCACCCACAGGCATCCAGGCAGTTATATCAGTTAAGCAAATAGCCTCATGGCAAGCATGCTGTCATGGCAACACTCACACTCATGCAAGATGCTAAAGTATAAAAAGCTTACCTAGTACTCCGAGATAAAACAAAAGCTAGTTAGTAATCAATGCATGATCCTAGCTATGTTAAGATGGCTAATGCAACACATGCAAAACGCAACTAGAAATAGGCTCGGCTATTCTAAGATGGCATATGAGATGCAACTTGATAATCATGTATTCAAATCGGAATTGAAATACAATGCATTTAGTATGATGCACCGAACCTGGTGCATGCAATACAGATGAATGGATGCAAACATGCGAGCATAGGAATGCCAATTGAAACATGACCTAAAACTAGCCATTGTAAGTGGTTAAGTAAAAGGGAGAAAGACGTGAGGTTGGAAGATATGCATCAGACACACGCTTACAAAAATGTGCCCTCTCGACGGAGGGTCTGAATGAATAATACAAACCAACTAATTAATCAACCAACAAGCTAATTAATTATTACAAAACTCTTAACTAATTAAGAAAATTAATTAAGTTGTAAAATAGACTAAGCATGAAACTAAAGAGGCTACCACAGCTTTGCCTCGGAATGATTGAATGATTTATGCTCAATCCCCTCGCTCGGAAATCCGTTGCCATGCCCCATGTTGCCTCTGTTTGCACTGTTCTGCAACTCTGAGAACTATGAAAATATCTGTGATGCTTCTGAACCACCTTATGGATATGCTGAGAGGCCATCGTCCAAAATATAGGGCCATCGGCCAAGGGAAACTGGTCATCGACCAATTGTGAGTCCATCGGCCAAAGATTGTTAGCCGATCGGCACTGAAGATAGCCGATTGGCCATCTCTTCTTGCAAACTGCTCATGTTCCTGTAGTAGAGGGAAAACAAGGGCATGGCAATACATTTGCAATAAAATGTTGTGCAACTACACCCCTTATCATGTTTGGGACTCAAAGGAGTGTAGTGTGCGACTCTCGAGCCATCAATCACGCATTTCGATGCATGATGGCCAAAGAAGCCGAATTGCACAAATCAATATGGAATGAATGCACAAAACACATGAATGCCTCACGCTCTATCATGTTGGATCAAGAGTGGTGGCGATCGAGGATTGAGGCACGTTTCGTCACTTCAACTACGAAACGTCCCTCGGTCCTCGTGCTTGGTTTGACACCCCAAACCAAACACAATGCAATGTATGTAACATAGAGAAGCTATGCAACGTAACATAAGCATGCCAAATGCAATATGACTCAAACATGCACTCAAGGCCAAGGTAACAAGCATGCCAAATGCAATGCAACCTAAACAAGCATGTGACAAAATGCAAACTAGCAAGCATTCAAAATGCAACTTAAACATACAAACATCCATGGCATGCAAAGATGGACAAGCATGCAACAACATGCAAACTAGTAAGCATGCAACAACATGCAAAGACGGACTTAAACCAAAATGGGGAGACCTCAGCCACGCCCAAATCAGTGGCCATAATGCCAAGAAATGATGGAATGAAATGCAAAATAAGCATGCGCACCAATTGGCCTATCACTTAGGCATAAGGACACAACTCTCAAACATGGCCAAGAAGTGACAAACATGATAATGTGTCAATGAGGTAAGCTCTGAAATCATGCAAGGAATGGTGCCAAACCACACAGACAAGACAAGCATAGCATGCTAAAAAGCTTAAGGCTTAAGGCTAGCCAAGGAGCTTATACCGAGGCTACAAGAATCAAGCCCCAAAGGGCCAAGGGCACCCAAAACAGTCCTAAGGGAGGTTAAGACAAGACCAAAAACAAGCTTGAACCTAGCCAACACAAGCAAGAACAAGAGTACAAAAGGCATGAGGCATGCAAGGCTAACAAGGGGTATTACACTACACCTATTACAACCAAACATGGCATGACTTAACCAATAAAAATTAGAGTTATGGCATGTCAAAATAAGCCCAAAAATCCACTAAGATGGCATCCCAAAAGCTTAAGCAATAAGGCATGCACAATGACTCATTCTTGAGGCATAAAACACCAGCTCCTCAAAGCATCAAAAGAGTGAAAGATGCAAGTGCATGACCACACTACATGGACTGAAATCTCATATGAAATGATGCCAAATCATGAAAATAGTCTAGGCAATGCATGCTAACAATTTGGAGACTCAAAGCTAACAAGCTGTACAAAACAATGCATGCATGACCAAGACTGTCACGACCCAAACCCGCCCCTAAAAGTTTAGTCCATGACTGGCCTGTACGTAGGCCTCAAAACATAAATTTTAGAATAATAGTTAACCACAAACGGGGCCTTAAGCGGAAGCAACATCAATAAAAGGCAACATCCATTGAGCTTGTGCATACATGATGGCTTAATTAATTTAGTATTTACATACATTCCCATAATTACATATACAATCACAAAATTATGCAGATCTCACACAACCTTAAATAAAACTCCAAAAATTACATAACTCCCAGTAATCAAAATTAAGGCCTCAACACGGAAGCGTACCCCAGGCGGCTTGGCAAATAGGTTGGCCCCAACACAATTCTAGTGTCAATCCCCGATGGCTCACCTACATAAACATACATAAAAACAAAGTGAGCAAGGCTCAATGAATAATAGTACGTGATAATCCAATAACTAAGTTGAATCACAAGGTATATAAATGCAGAGAACTTATAGTTAATGTAATGACCCCAAAATGCGTATAATAAATCATCTTTATTTCCCTATGAAATGATGTGGTTTAATTTAATTATATCTATTAGAATTGAAGCATTATCAGTTGAGTTACGGACTTAAAATGGGAATTACCGACCTTTATGGGTTCAAAAATCAAAATTGAGTACTTGGATATGTTAATGGGAATTTTTGGAATTATTTGGGAAAATTAATTTGAAATCTAATTTGTTTGATTTGTTAATGGACGTTTGGGTGCTTAACTTTATACTGCAAATTAAAGGCCTTAAAGACTTCAGATACCGGAATAGGGGACATATTTATGATCAGCATAATTTTTAGAGTTATCTGGGAAGTTTAATTGAAATGCGATTTTGTGCGATTCGTAAGGGCGTGTTTGGCCCTTCCTATTTGTGGGAAGCTTTTGTATATGCATATATGCCTTATGAGTTGTTGAACTCATCTATTTTGAACCAAACAAAAAATAAAAATATCTAGAGGAAGGGGAAGGAGAACCGTGAGAGAGAGAAGAGGCAAAGCTTCTCCCTAAGGAATTCAACATCCATGGAAGCTTGAAGACGGTTGAAGAAGATAGAAGAGAGAGGAAAGATCAACCAAAAGCTTGGGAAAAATTGAAGAGACTAAGGGATGAACAAAGGTTTGGGTAAGGTATGTGGCTCTAATTACTAACCTTGTGTAGAATCCATCGACTACTTGAAATCATGGATTGATATAGAAGATGTGAGCTTTGAACCCATGAACCTTGATTTTCTAAGAATTCCTTGATTGAAGAAGTAAAATCATTAAATTTGTTTATTGTGAGATTATGGTGTTTGATGAAGAATAGTAATGTGAAATTGGTCATGTATTAAATGGTTTTGGGCTTTGATTTACATGTAATTAAGGTTTGATTTTTGAAAATGAGAAGTTACACAATTTCAGCCATTTTCGGACTGCTGCTGTCCAGGGCCGCACGTGCGGCACTGTTCACCCGCACGTGCGGAGACAACTCTGTCCAGCCCACTTTGAATAGGTATATCTTTTGCATCCGGACTCCGTTTTGAGTGATTCTTGAGCCTAAAATCAAGCCCCAGAAGTCTAGTTTCCAATGGCGCTAGTCTCACTCCCAAATTCTAAATACAGAAAAAGTTATACCCAAATTAGTGACGACTGTTCACGTTATGTCAATTAGTTATGTACCATTTCTTCACCTAAACCATTTCCAATCGATTTCTCCTGTTTTCTAAGACATGGATTACAACATATTAAAGAATAATGAGCTTGGTACCACCATGACTAATTGATTGAATGATCAAAGAGAATAAGTAAAGGATTGAGTATAACCTCATATTATGTGTTGTGCACTGTAATTGTAGGTCGAGACGAGGACATTGTACCATTACCACCGGGAATCGATCACTGTGAGTAGTAGTACTTTGATGTACCTTTAACCATTTATCGTTATTGATGTTAAATCTTCGTCGTAAGAATTATATTGACATAAATGTTGTGAATGCTATGTGAGAAACATTGTGATCTTATGGGAACTTCAAAAGAGTTTATGAAGTTACGTATGTCATGTGAGAAACATTATGGAATTATGAAAACATCAAAGGAACTTGTGATTGTGTGAACCCCTCAGGCCAAGGGCCGAACTTTGAAATTGTGAAACCAGTAAAGTCATCTATAATCTAATGAGAATGTACTTACTTTTCGTTCCTAATTATCAGGAATGTCCTGTTAACTTTACGTTAATTATGTCAACTCATGGGAATGATGTAACAGTTACTATTAGGATTATGTTAATTACAAGGCAAGGCAACTATGTTAACATATAAGAATGATTAAACAAAGGTGTATGCTATTGATAAGAGAGCACGTAAAGTAAGTCATTTACCCAAAAGAATTTATGTTCATTCTTGAAGAATGGATTCTGAGTAAATATAAGAGTAGCTACATGTATCCAGATGAATTGAAGTTAATTTGTCATGTTGCTTATGAATTGGAAGTGATCCAGAATCTACGATATAAGTGCAAAGTTTAGCATCATTATGTGACCCTCATGAAAATGTGAATTAGTCCCTCATTGTTAAGCGTACGATATTGACACGATACAACAAGAAATGCTCTAGTTATGATATGTTCCGTTTGAATTAATGAATGATGTTCAAGTATGTTTCAGGCATGTTTCCAGTATGTTACAAGTTCAAGTATGTTCAGGTATGTTTCAAGTATATGTTACAAGTTTAAGTCTGTCACAAGTTTACGTATGTTACCAGTTTATGTATGTACATGTTCAAGTATGCTACAAGTTCACAATGTTGGGAGATTCCTTTATGGAACGAGCAAAAAAAAATACTTATTATTGATTTGCTAGCACTATTACAGTGCCAAGTATAAGCAAGTATGAATTCTGATTTCTATTTATGATTCAAGCATAATGCATATGTATGAATTTATTTCCGAGGTATGACATTACATGTATGGTTTGGTCTGTAAGACCTAATGATTATTGGTATGGAACAAAGTGCTACTTGGAACTAAGTGCTACATTGTGAGCCACCGCTAGAGTCCATGTGAGACACATCTTGAGTCCATACATATGTGAAAGTTATGAGGTTTATAGCCATCCGTATAAGTTGTTATGAAATGAAACAAAGTGCTACACGGAACTAAGTGCTACATTGTGAGTTACCTCTAGAGTCCGTGTGAGACACCTCTTGGGTTCATAGATGCATGTCCAAGGGCTTTATGCCATATGTTTCAAGGGCCTTAGTGCCACAAGTTTCAAGGGCTTATAGCCACCATGTTTCAAGGGCCTCGTGCCACCATGTTTCAAGGGCTTATAGCCACCATGTTTATGTTGCAAGATTGAACTTAAGGCCGTTATGTACGTAGCACAGAATCAGACTAACTATGTGAACTCTACATCTTTATATGCATTGCTATGTGTTATGTTTCAATTTAAGCATCGTTTTATTTATGTATTACTATTCACTGAGCTTGGCTCACTCTGTCTAATGTATGTTTCTGTAGGTAACCAACCAAGTGGTCAGTCCTAGTCATGACACATGTTTTCTTTTGTCAACCTTCGTGGGTTCAGGCACTGCACGAAGCCATTTATTTTTGTAAAGTCTATTGAAATGTTGGCTTAATTTTGATTACCCATTTAAAGTTAAAGAGGTAGAACTTCAATGATTTTTTTTTTATATAAGCCCAATGATGGGGCTGGGTCTGTAGATATGGTTGTTTATCACCGATGCTACAACATATGGTTTGGAGCTTTATCTATTTTCCATGATGAATGTGATGTATAAGAGGTCCTGGCATGTAGATGTAGCTCAATGGAATTTATATGTATAGTTATTTTCCTACTTTATGCTTCCGATGAGGCCCCATATGTTATTTACTGCAGGTTAAGTGTTCGTTTTCAAACGGGTCATGCCCAAACTTTTAGGGGCGGGTTTGGGGCGTGAGAAGTGGTATCAGAGCACGAGTTGCTATCTCACACACGAATCCATCGAGCTTTAGGATGTCCAGAAAAGACTTAGGTATCATGTATGACATCCTTAGTGCACATGAAAGGAATTGATAGCAACGATAATGGTACATGTCTGTTATACATTTTTTTGTATATATTGTGATTGATTACTATGTAGAAAATGGTAAGACCTACAGATGGGATTAAATCAATAAAGTTGCGCAGCGAAAGCGTGGTAAGAATTCACGTTGAACGGTAAGACAAGTTATATGCCTATGACTAAGTGAAATGTGTGTTATTAATTGTGACTGTAGAATTGATAAATATCTGCGAAGCATCTGTTTAGATGACTTACTTACATGATTTAGTGCGCACATAAGATAATATGTGCGATGTGCACTTTCTGTAACATAGGCACATCCTTCTTATTATAACAATGTTTAAACCTGCGAGTTCGAGAGGTTATTGTAAGTTGATAGTTGCTAAAATTAGTTTCGCATGATACTTTGTAATATGTTGAAAAGGACTGGCTGTGATAAAAAGTTATACATATAGTGATTCTGTTTTGTTCATGTGTAACCTGCAATCTGTAATCAGGATTTCTTACAAGGAATGGTCGAATAATATGAAGAACCCCACCTATATGATACTGGTAAAAAAATAAAATAAAATAAAATAAAATAAAAAAGGAATTTTGTTTCTGCATTTTAATGCAAACTGTTAAACTAATCCTTATTCTGTATTTAAAAAGGGGTTAAGTAAAGTTTATGACCAACTAGTCAACTTGAACTTATGACGACATGACCAAGTGTCTAGTATGTTGCGAGAAGTTACGAAACTGTATGTTCTTTGTTTTGATACTATAAGGATGATTTGTGATCACATGTTTTTAAACAGTAAGCATTTTTCGAAATGATCAAAATGTTATGACCTTCCGGCATGTTTATGACATGATAAGCTTTCTGGATAATTTTCCAAAATGACTAGATACGCTACGAAGCTCCGAATGTTCAAGATATGACAAGATTTCTGAAAGAAATATTCTGCTATGCGTGAATGAGTTCTTTAATTAATAATTTATTGTTGCATACTTGATGAAAGCTTTATGTTGAGCCTCAAGTTATTTTGCCTATTTGTTATAAGTTAAATCGGAGATTGTTCTGTCAAAGTTTAAATAAGTTTAAGGCTATTGAGAATTATTCCATCATCTGATATCTTTGAAATGCCTGATAAGTTTCTGAGTAATATCTCTGAACAACGTATTGTATGTACGTATGAAGGGTTTGAAGAACTTTATGTATTACATATTTTTGGAAAATGCTTTTGTCCATGTTAGAAACATTTTACTACCTATGGAACAAGAATATAAGAATTTCATGGCAAATGTATTATGTGCTTGCTGTCGTGATGTTGACTTTGAGATCTTCTAAACCAGCATGGATTTTAAATGAATACTACTTTACTGTAATGTGGGAAGTATGACCATTAAGGTTTGATCTGTATTTGATTTTACGAATCCTTTACTCTGAACATGTAATTTCTTGATATGAAATTTAAGTTGGCACTTGGAGTTTGTTAGAGATTTGATTTGAACTGATAAGTCTAATTCAGATAATGAACAAAGAGCCATGAAGTCGTTGAGTTAGAATTTAATTACTACGATGGGTCTAATTATTGTACGAGGTATATACCTTTGAAACGTGATTATGTCGTGACTGTTTCCTTAGCCTTTGAGGAATTATGATAATGGGGGTTATTTGTGAGTTTGAATTATGTTTGATAGTTTATGAGCTGCATGCGAACGAATACTTGAAATGAATTCATTTCTGAATACCCTTAAGTTGTCATATTATGTGAAAGATATGATTTGTGGAGTAATAAATTAAAATGTACAAGTTATGAACAATGAGATGATACTTTGATGTTATTACATACTACTATCAAGTGGGTTACCAATTAGTCAGTAAAGACGCACTTGTGATTTTGGGAGCCACCTCTATTGAAATTGATTGTATAAAATTGGGAATGGCTAAATGATTGAGAAATGTTTCATGTCCAAGACGGAACTAGACTTGTGACAAGGAGAATCAAGTTTGGAGGACCAAACTTCTTGAGGTGGGAAGGATGTTATGACCCCAAAATGCGTATAAGAAATCATCTTTATTTCCCTATGAAATGATGTGATTTAATTTAATTATATCTATTAGAATTGAAGCATTATCAGTTGAGTTACGGACTTAAAATGGGAATTACCGACCTTTATGGGTTCAAAAATCAAAATTGAGTACTTGGATATGTTAATGGGAATTTTTGGAATTATTTGGGAAAATTAATTTGAAATCTAATTTGTCTGATTCGTTAATGGACGTTTGGGTGCTTAAATTTATACTGCAAATTAAAGGCCTTAAAGACTTCAAATACCGGAACAGGGGACATATTTATGATCAGCATAATTTTTAGAGTTTTCTGGGAAGTTTAATTGAAATGTGATTTTGTGCGATTCGTAAGGGCGTGCTTGGCCCTTCCTATTTATGGGAAGCTTTTATATATGCATATATGCCTTATGAGTTGTTGAACTCATCTATTTTGAACCAAACAAAAAAATAAAAATATCTAGAGGAAGGGGAAGGAGAACCGTGAGAGAGAGAGAGGGAGAGAGAGAAGAGGCAAAGCTCCTCCCTAAGGAATTCAACATCCATGGAAGCTTGAAGATGGTTGAAGAAGATAGAAGAGAGAGGAAAGATCAACCAAAAGCTTGGGAAAAATTAAAGAGACTAAGGGATTGTAAACTAAAAAAAACACAGATTATGCAGCGGATTAAAATGATCAGATCATACCTTCTTGATGATAGAACCTTCTTGGATAAATCACGTGCTTCCAGGAAACTTCTTGATGAACCAACCCAGCAGTGGAGTGATATCACAGATTGAATATCACCCACACTAACCACAGTG